TATACGAAGATTCCGTAAAAGTAAAAGATCTAATTGAAAGCTGAATAAATTTAATACCGTCGGTTGTAAGATTAATTGAAATAAATTATATCGTCGTTTAAGTGTAGACAAATTATCACGAAGTGCCTGGATAAATTAACTTTTTATTCTTTACAAATCACACGGTGTACATTTGATATCTTCTTTAACTATTTATCTTTGCCTGGTAATACTTGTCTTCTTGTTGTTTTCTGTATTGTTTTGCAAATAACTAGTTCTTTTCTCAATACGTAGGTAACATTTAAAAATTGATTGGACTTGGGTTTGTTTGAAAGTCATAGACAATATTCAATGCTGATAAAATGAATGAATACAATAGCATGGTCAAGTGTTTTCAATGGCCTTCAGGTGAATATTAAATGAACTTTATGCTTACAAGCTATGTATATAACCTAATAATGCGTGCGTTCAAGAGTACGTATTGTTTACAACTGAGTTCATAGCAAATTAAGACTACATTTTCTATTAATATTCGAAATATCTAAAGAGAGATTACTAAAATATTTGTGCTGGTGCTTTGTTGAATTTTCTCCTCCTCCATATTTTCCCTTACCGATGCACTCACTTCCACTTCATGTTATGTTCATACCTCCAGAATGCCCAGCAGCACCGGTTTTCTCCGTTTCCGTGATCATTGTGTTTTTTCGGTGTTCCTTGATCCTCACTTCTAAAGGTGTCTCCTACGAGAGCTAACACACTCGCAAAATATCTCATATATGCAGTTCTTCCTATCGCCTTGACAAACAGTTTTGATACTTAGAGAATTGTTGGAACGGAAGATGGTGTTTATGTTCTATCGTTTGCCTATCAGCTGAGCGAATGTTTTCCTTTTCCGCAATTTTGACTTGCCTTGTCCGATAACACTAACTTTTCAGAACTGTGTCCACAAGGCTAGATTATACTTCATTTCTGACTGTACCGTCTGTTAAGAACTTCATAAGATTAGAACTCATCACGGTTCTAAGGATTCCATGTTTTGTGATTTTGTTGTGGATAAACGAGAAACTGGGGTATTGTCCAGTAAATGTCGGTTTCCGTGTTTCCGGACTAGGTGACGATATCATTATGATCGTGGTAATTCAAGAAGAAAAAATTATTCTTATCGAATAATTTTGAAAATAATTTTAGGTAATTTTTGAAATATCTCAAAAACCTTCTTAAATCAAACCATTTTGGAACACACACCTGGAACATTTTGGAGGGGAAAATAATATAAATAAAGGTTAAGACAACCATCACGCAGCTGGATAATTTAAAACCTCATGTAAGAGCGTTTTGATACATCCTCAAATTCAAGATTCTTAAGCAGAAAATTCTGTTAATTTAGAATATAAACATATTACAAAAGAACAAAAAATGCAATAGTGAGGATTAAGAATAAAATAAATTATTTAAGAAATATTAAAATGAAATCAAGGAAAAAATAAAATAAATGTGTGAACGGACAACATTTACAATTTTTTTATAAATAATAAACAAAAGAAATAGGATTGTAAACTTGAACACTATAGCAATATATTTAATTTGAATTTGTCTTCTTTAGGTTTGTTTTTTTGGTTTCACATTAGTTTGAAAATTGTATGGGAATCTTTGCAGCGTGCGTAATTGATCTTATCCGATTACAACAAGTTTGACCAAACCACTAGTCTATTGACCCCTTATCAATAACTAAAAATGGATCCTTAAGGTGAATATATTGAATTTGATGAGAAACTGACGACGTCCGCATATAAATACTTTTAAAAGAAGGAATAATCTCAAAGAAATAGAAGAAATAGAGATTTTTTCAAGAAATTGTTAAACCAATCAGAACTATAAAAATAAATTATAATTAAATTTAATTTAAATGCGTGATAAGATTTGTCGATAATTAATAATTCTCTGACAAAGGTAACTTCTGTCCTAGAACGGTCTACTCTTGGGAGATATCTCCTGCTTTTTTTTCTAGGAAATAATATTAATTACTTTTCCCTTTTGCGTTCCACATAAGTGCAAAAAATCTATGCAATAATCTGAATCCATACTTTGTTATCCTGTCAAAACCCATCCTTTTCTAAGATATCCCGTTGCATTGATGTAGTAGTAAATATTGGAAGAAATATTAAAAAATCTAAATTTTAGAACATTCTTTAGCCCAATATTTTCGTTGTTAAGTTTATAGGTGTAGGAAAAACAAGGCAAGCCACATTTTAAACCAGTGCACCTGTAAACCACTTTTGTTTAACCGTCCGGGAATGTCAGCGAGATATAATAGGGGCTTCACCTGGACCCACATCGGAGACAACAACCTACAAAACGAACGCGCCATGCCATGCAAGGTGATTCGGAAGCTACAGCCATTATTAATTTTTAACGTTTTACTCGTTACAGGTTTATCGCTAAATCTACTCGTGTCCATGCTTATAGGAACTATCTCGTCATAATATTATTTTTTTTTTATTTAATACTGAATTGACTATTGGCGTAAGTTTCAGTACACTAGTTCTTACGCTCACTCTATTTTCTGAGCAGGTCAAACTCTATATTATCAACTCGCCATTCACATACAATTAAAAAAGCATTCTAAGGCTTGGTTCTAAAGATAAATTCGTTTGTCTATTAAGCCTCACTTTTGAGATTCAAAAACTTTATAGTCAACCCAATCTAACGTTCCATGGCAAATATCAAACAATTTCAAGAACATACTTAAGTTGATATTGATGCTCTTTCCTCTATAAAATTAAAAAGAAATTATTTATTTAAATTTTCAGCTACTCATCTACAGATAAATCATAAAAATGTTGATAAAAATTAAATAAAAAAAAATGTTATGTAGATCTTGGATTAAAGGATAAATAGGGAAAATATATCGTTTAATAGTGGGGTTCGATATCTAGGCTGGTTAGTGGATACCAATTTCAGATGTGATAAACACATTTCAAATTGTATAAAAGCAGCAATAGATAATTCAAGACATGTTCTTTGTTTAAAATTGTTGTGTGTCCTGAGATATAAGGTTAGATCTGCCCATTACTTTTCCATTTTCCAGGCTGTTGCTTTATCACCAAGTTGTAACAACTAAAAATTTCACGTATTTTTATAATAAAATTGTTTTTCGATCAAATATCCACAGAATAAACTCTTTTGAATGGCTGAATTTGGAAGTTCTTTCTCTTATCAAATCACGAAAATATAGAACGCCTCCTTAGAGTTGTGTCCTGTCCCAGTATATTCCGACGCAAGTTCAGATTATCGCTGCTTTTATAATAATGATATCCTGTTTATATATTTATGTATTTTTATATTTTTTATGTTTTTTTTCTTTCCGCAGCGACGTCTAATGGCAAATGCACAACATTTTATCTAATCTGTCTACTGTGACCACTAGAATTTTTGGTTAGTTTTGGTTAGTTATGTAGTTAGGTATGGCATAGGATCTTTTTTATCAAACTGTCATAGATTTTTTTATTAGTAATTATAGTTTGGCTTAAGTTGGAAAACACCACATTACAGTTAGTATTGAGGTGAACTTTGCTTTTTCATTGAAATTAATCTATTTTTTGGTTGTGTATTATTTGAATAAAAGTGTATCATTCCTTATTATTATCATTATTATTATCACAATGCTCAAGAATAACATAACAAATCGATGCCTACTTCCGGTTTAGTGCAACCAATTTAATAAATAGTGAAGTCTAAGGTTTTTCTATTGATGCAATAAATTTGTAATAAGATTATGTTCTGACACATAAGTAAATATGTGTAAATAAAATATACAACTATATAGAACACTTGTACACTCAAGTAATGGGTATAAATTAAACACTCATAAAATTATCGCAAAATGTACAAAAAAGCTTCTGATTCCATGCTGAAAAAACCGTTAAGGAAAATAAGCAAAATTAATGCATAAATTTTCCTGTGTAACCACCATAAGCATTTTCCGCACCAGTAACACGTGTCACGGATCACGTGTCAAAACTGGACGCGTGTGCACCGCGCGCATGCGCGTGCCAGGTGACACCTGCACGTGCGCGTTTCGCCCGGCTAATCTTAACCTGACCATAAGGCCGTATTTTTGGATGGGGTAATGTGAGTGTAACAATTGAATTTTGCATTTTTCTAAGGTGCACGTATTGTTTTGGTCGGTTGATACGTGTAGTTTTTAACGGTTTTTTACGCTAGACTGATTGAATTCTGATCAACAGTTGGCGTTCACCAGGTGAAACGCAGTGAGTTAAAGTCATGGTCACAATCTTTTGATGATTGACGCTATTGAAGATGACATTGTCTGAAACAGGTCAATTTTCGAAAATGATAGGTTTACATTTAGTTATCTAAATTATTGGACCTTCTAAATGGTTACACAAAAATTGTAGACTAAACAGTTTGGTAAAGCAAATACTGCAAAACTGCAAATTTCAAAAACCTGAGACTTAAAAGAATGTTTTCCGTTTTTAACCAAAATTGGTTTACTTTGGTAATGGTTGATTTGATGATAATTGCATTGACAATTCCTAAATAAATTTTAACTCTCATTCACCTGAAACCTTATCAAGAAACTGTCTTCAATTAGTGTGGCAGTGTCTATCAGATTTTATTTATTATCTATATCATTGAATTTCATGTATTTTAAAAGGTAAGCGAACTCCAGAGATACAAACTAAAAAGCAAAGTCCTATGGTTTTAAAATCAAATTCAAATTTTGGTCTCAATCAATATGTCTCGGGTGCAATTGTCCGATACATTCAACGTATATTACAAAAGACCACACTCCAAGATAGAATTCTTTTTTTTTACTCGACCAGGCAAAAGTCATTTGATTTTCTGCAACAGCGGTTAAGTGGGAAAAGTCTCGATATGTGCCGTTAATTAGAATAATAAGATGCTTGAATGAGCATGAGTTTAAATAGCTAGATACGCATTGCAAGTGCATTATTGATATTTAGAAAAATATTGTAATAACGGTCACACACCGGTTTGCTCGTCAAATATTAACTTTTATTCTAAGTATATTATAAGAATGTTTTAGTAACATTTATGACCCAATTTTTTCTCCCGACATCAATGACACGTAAGTGTAGGCAACCTTCACCCTCTAGAAAAAGCACATTTTATTAATTAATATAGGACGAAATCCTGTACATACCGATAACGCAACATCAGCTGTCATCGAACCAAATGGACCAATCTTCAACGATAAGGGTTTCTGTGCTCTCAGAATCACGGTTAATACTAACTTCTTGAACGTCTCCGAACGGTTATACCATTGACTCTCGTAGACCGCATTGGATAAATTCTGGCTCTGAAGTAAATAAATTACGTCAAACTGGGTAATCGACTATATTTTACGTTCAGATTTTAGTAACGAGTTTGGTGATAGCTAGAATTGGCAAACGTCAAAATTCCATGGTTCAAAATTACCGAAAACATCCGATCGGTGCAAGCGCGTCACTAAAGTACGAAAGAAAGTCCGAAGTCGCTCTCTACCGTGCGTAACGAAATGGCACTTTTAAGTAGGTATTTTAGAATAAGGAGTAGAATTATAAATTACAAATTGGAAATTACATACATTCAAGGGAGATTATAATAAAATACAATAATAGAATATACAATATAAAAGCAAAAAAATCAGAGATGATTGTTTCCAATTTGCAAAATTTATTAGCAAAAATTTAGCAACAATTCTCATATTTTTCTACTTTATCTTGTGAAGGAAAATTGTTGGTTAAATAACGTTTATTTTTTGCTTGGGCGGCTATTTTGATTAATAAATAGAAACCAGTGTTTTTTCCTTAAGGAGGATTAGCAATCCCTTGCAAATCTATAGGTAACTTACATTTAACAATTAAATTGAATTTATTAAATTATTAATGTAATTAACGAGATACTGAAAGTGCTTAGCATGATTTGCAATAAGCTTACCTATATTATAAAGCGTTCAAAAATAAACCTTTTAATCATTACATAATATATACAAATACATACCTCCTCCCTTATTTCATTAGCATTCCAGGCCAGCGCGAACATCTGGTACGACAAAGCCAGCCCATAATGTATATTGAAAAACACCCTTTTTCCCTGAAAGTATAATATTTTAATCATTTATTTCAAAATTAAATTAGATGCCCACTTGAAATACTTGAATAACAATCGATGCTATCATAAGCGACGAAATGATATATTCAACCAGCAAAATAGATTTCATGGAAATATTCAATTCTTCTGTGAAACTAGAAAAAAAATAGAGCTGTGAGAAAGTAATTCTAATGGACTAGCTCTACCTTATCAGGGACTGATGTTTTTGAATTGAGATTATCAACCTTTTTGTTGCATTTTTTGAGAGTTGCTCATTTCCGACCGAAACATTTCTTTCACTATTACTGAAATGGTGTTGCAATGATTTTAGTTGAGCCGTCAAAGCGATCATGATCGTATTAAATAAAGCTTGAGTAGCGCTGTTGTATAAATCAGAGAACAACACCGAAAAGGCTTGATAAAATATAACAATTCCATAATATTTATCCGTATCAAAAGGATACCAATATAACACTTGCAACGGCTTGTAGCATATTTCGGTACAATTTGGGTGGATTTGTTGAAACTGCTGATACTCGAAAATTCCTGGAAATTATGCGGGGACTTACCATCAAAATAATAATAAAAACATCAACACTTACCCATTATTAGTAAATGGATCCCAACGCTGAAAGAATAGACCGTTATGATAATGTTTAACCTGTTGCTGTATCTAGTGTAAATTAAAATAATCTTTTTGGTTTTCGAATCCCCATGCGAAGATATTTCGATTTCATCCATCGTCTGGTTCAAGAGATTTCGCATCCCCTTTTTTTGAAATACAGCCATTTTAACCGTAAGCAAGAAAACTATAGTTAACATAGACAAGCATTCGATTGCTGAAATTAACAACAATTTTTCGCTTCAATTCGAATAATTAAAAAGAAATACCTCTATCAGCTTCCACGGGAAAGAGTTGAACGAATTTTATAAATAACATTAGCAAATTGGCATTATAAAAAAGCTGAATGAAAATGGAATAAAAATTATAACACCATCTCAAATTATTGGTTAGGCCTGGAATATTCAGTCGCCATGTACCCGCAATTATAGTTAGCCAACGTATTACTGTGAATTGCTGCTCGCCTACGGTCATCTCTGGAATCGTAAATTATGAAAACAGAAGAATCTGTGCCAACCCTTAATTTGGTTTTTGGGATAGGTATTGTTTTCACTGGATAAATTGGAATAGACTACTTTCCGAAATTCGATAAACAAAGCTTCCTTTAATGAATACAAATTAGCAGTAATTAAAATAAATTATGGTCTTAGCCCAAGTTCGTTTCTCGACCTATAATTACACTGAATATAATGTTGCCGCTCTATTATTAGGATAGAATATTTTAAGATTTGTAATAAATTTTAAAATGTTATTAGATCGATAAATTTGTTTTTGTTAATTTTTCAAGGAAACTTCTGTTAGTCATAATGCTCTTTCATGTTCTTTGAGCCTGTTTGGTAGTTTTCGTCCGGTCCTTCCAATTTATTCTTTGCGGCATATGCATGGAATGCTGTAAACTCCTGGCATCTAAATTGGTTTTGACGTTATATTTCTTTAGAACTTTTGATATGTGGTCAGTGATGTTTTGAACATAATGAAGGACAACCGTGGCAAGTGTGGGATTGCTTTCGGTTTCATTGATGTTGGAATGTTGTGGTGAAGTGTATTTTGTGATGGAGCGCTTAATATCTTTAATATGGAAATTATTAGACAGAAGATCAGAGGCAAGGTGTTTCAATTCCGATGATTTTTGGGCCGGATGGTGACAATGCATTAAGGTATCATTCTGTGTGCGTAGGTTTTCTGTAAACACGATGACCCAATGTTAGGTCTGATTTTCTATTGGTAAGAATATCTAATAATGGGAGGTTGTTAATAGTTTCTATTTAAACCGTATGTTAGGGAGTATAGAGTTTAAATGTCTAAGAAAATCTACTAGGGTTTCTTGACCATGAGGCCAAATAACAAAAGTATCATCGACGAAGCGTTTCCATAATTTTGGTTTTAGATGAAAGATGTCGAGAGCTTTCTTATCAAAGGCTTCCATAAATATATCCCCCTCATTTAGCTCCGCACCCCTAAAACAATATAAAAGTAAGTAAAATGCGAGCCAGTTTCAGTCAAGCTCTGAAGAAGCCAACAGGATGATTGGCGAAACTTCAGCAAGTTCGACTCAGCAAAAACCGGCGCAGGAGGAATCCAGAAGTTTTTTAAAAAGTAAATTTGTTTTTGCTTTGAGCAGACACAAATTTTTAATGTCAAATATCTATGTCATACGTTTGGAAATATATACCTTCCCCAAGGTTCGTTTTTTATTTCCTTTTAATAATCATTTCAAAATTTATTTTCACCTCTGGAGCAACAAATTTTGACAACAATGCACCCGTTTTTTTTTTGTTTTTCCGTTTATCGGACAGATGATTACCACAAGTCAAAAATGATTAAAAGGCTTGCTATTTAAGATAGGGTTTTTAAAATAATCAAAATATCTAAGAAACTATAGGGATCAAGTACAGAGAAACGTAATGGAACCTACACTGGAATTTTCTCAGAAATTAATTTCAGTCCTGCAACTACCTCAAAATCGATCCATATCGTGTGGATGGGGTTTATCCATTTTAAATAACTTTGAATTAAGTTATACTTCACCAAAAAAGAAATGTGAGAGATTGTGTACATAAGATCAAAATGATTTTGTACAATGTCTCTTGTGTCTCTTGACACAAATGATATGAGGTAATATCCGCTAAAAGGGTAGGTCCGTTGCTCCAGAACTTTTTAAATTTGAATCTACCCTTTTCCGCGAAATAAATCAAAACATTTCAGGCGCTACAGCAAGATCTAGAAAACCATTAAAACGGAGTTTTAAATTAATTTTAGTGACCACAGAACGGAATAAATACAAACCATTTGTCATGCAGCTAACCAGCACAAAATGACAAAAAAACACATGTTTCAACTAAAATTATAAACCTGGGAAAGGAGGGTCTTTATTTCGAAAGGCAACATAGCTTCCTGAGGGGTCATAGTGGTATGTTTTTCAAAAATTATTTGACAAAGCTTATTTTCCACTGAGATTGTCTTCACCTTTTCAAAACTCCTCGAGTTATTGCTCAAACAATATGAGTTGGTGTAGTTTCACCCAGTCCTTAGTAATAAATCTATAATTTATAGTATAATGTTTGAGGGGCAGAGCGGAGCGGAGTTTATGCAGAGTAGATTGCAAACCAGTTTCACATAATTTCTAAAGAAGCCAACAGAATGATTGGCGAGCAATCAGCAAACTTTTAAATAGCATTACAGTAGCCTGTGGATGTTTCTTAAAAAAAACTGTAATATCAGGTTGTAAAAATTTATATCTGTATACTGCAGGACAGGAATCAACAGAAACATTAATGGTACGTAAATCACCACATACTTGGAATAAAATTTGCGTTGATGATAGATCCATGCTTTTCAACTTGTCGAATTATGCAAAAGGTTGCTGCGGTAATAACGTTGGACATTTGTACTATGTCCTGAACAGAAAATCAAGATTGTGTAATGAAACTAGGTCGGAGGAAGATTTGGAACATGCTAAGGAATAGGAAAAAAACAATTAATGAAGAAGTAAATGTAACAAGAATAACACTCAATGACTGGGAAAAATACTTCTGTCACCTCTACAGCCCTGACACTAATGCATTACACATTGAGAAAGAACACCTAAACATCATCACGAACCATGGACCGTGTCTAAGGAGAGAACTGAACAAACAACCATCAAACTAAAAAACCGTATGCCTGCTGGAGGAGATGAAATATCTAACGAGTTGCTGCAGTACTGAAGAAAAGAACTATCAAAGGAGCTGCACGTATTCTTTAACAAAATAATTAAGACCAACAAAGTACCAACTGAATGGAAGGAAAGCATAACCTTCCCAATATTTAGGAAAGGAAGCAGAAAAGACCCATCAAACTATGGGGGAATCATGCTGTTAAGCTCAATACTGAAGTTATTCACCAAAATCCTGTCGGACGAAATGTCTTCTCTTGGGCTGTGTGAAGAGCAACAAGGCTTGAGAAAAAATAGATCAACAATAGATGCAATCTTTACAATCAGGAAGATCGCTGAAACTTCTATAGAATACAATAATTCTTCTCACACAAGCAGATTGTGTAAGACTTCTCAAGAAAAAGAGTGTGCACCCAGACTTAATAAAGATCGTAGTTGAGTTAAATACCGGCAATATGACTCAAATATAAGTGGAAGGCAGAAAAACACGCGAAATACCCATGCAGACAGGAATAAGACAAGGCGACAGCCTGAGCCCTAGCCTTTTCAATGTGACTATGGATGGGCTAATGTCGGAAGTGAAGAAGATTGGAAAGGGATACCGACTAGGGGGACAAAGAAATAAAGATAATTTGCTATGCGGACGATGGAGTGTTGATATCGGAAGATGAAGATAACCTACAGAGAATGCTCTTTAAGTTCGAAAACATCGCCTCCAAGTACAACGTAGCAAAATCTTAATCACTAACGATATCAAAAAAGCCCAGAAGATGTAAATTGGCCATATACAATGAACCTGTAGAACAGGTAATGAGTGAAGAAGTAAAATGCCAAACATCCAAGGCAGCCTTAATCGCAGGGTACCTGCGAGCTGTAATATGGCGAAACCATAGAAGATAAAACTCGCATATATAAGACCTGTAGAAACAAGAGCGGAACACTCGACAACAAAAGGAATCATCCGAACAGCAGAGATGAGAACTCAAGATCTATAACGGGCTACACACTGAGGGAACACAAAAGAAGCGAAGACATCAGAGAACTTTTCGGTGTCCTTGATATTGTACCATGGTCCCTAAACAGAAGGCGCTAACAGATGGATGACCACAGACTGCGGAAAATTGCAAGAAATGGTCTCCCAAGATCGAGCAGTTCTGCTAAACGTTATTACCCCATACGATGGCATGAGAGCTGGAGCTTAACTTTAATTCTAAATGCCACACTAGTGCGACACGTTCCAAAGTTTACACTGAAAAGGTCTGAACGGAACTCTTTTTAGTAAAGCGGTTTGAAAAAAATGTGGAAAACCCTATTAGAATTAAAGTGATATTGGACATAATTATAAACAAATTTTCATATCGTACATATGATGCGCTTTATATAGATTACTTTCTTGAGAAAGCAAATCCATAAGTAACGAGAAGAACTTTTTCATAAATGGATTAATAAACATTTCACTTAAACTTTAAGCAAACTTCATAAAATATTTAAACCATTCTGGTGCTGGGTATATACAAACGAAGGGACTGTCGTGTACACCTGATAGCAATATAATGTGTTTATCTTTGTATATATCAATACCTGTACGCTAAGATCGAAGGTGTTCACATAAGCCTTATACCATGGCCGAAAACGGCCGATACAAAATTGAGTATATTATCACTGTTTTCAGAATAGCGGGTTTTTTCGGAATCGTACCCAACTACAACTTTAAAAACGATTACATTTCCAAATTGTGGAGTATTCAACGACCTGCAATTTTAACTAGTGTCATTTTGGTCGCATCCATAATAGCAATTATTATGGAGGCTTACAAAACGAAATTCCAGTCGCCAATTGATGCTCTCCTGGTTATGGGCTCTTTCATGGGAGATATAACTATAGGAGCACTGACAATTCTGGATTTACTTTTTTTCAGAAGGAAATATTGGCAAGCATTTTTTAACAAAATGGTGAATACAAACAAATATATCATCCGGAAAGGCGATATCAGCAAAAACAAATTTTACGTCTTAGTAACAATGGGAATATTCCTGATGGGAAATTTATCGCTGATTTTCGAATTCGGACCAAAAGTTTACTTGCCATTTCAGATGTTATTTTTTTGGAACTGGAATTTAATATGTATTTGCTTGTTGTTCTTCAAATGCCGATTTAATGATACCAACAAGAAAATTGTCATTAACCT